TTGATGGACAGGCTGACACTGCTGTTCTCAGAGTAATGCCAAAAAAATGAATAAAATAAAATGTTCTGCCTTTGATAAAACACAATTCATCTAACCACGGCTCCCTGAAGAAAACTGTCTAGAAAGAAATGTTCCTCCCAGCTTCAGCCACAACTGACACTTCCCTGTGCATGTAATGTAACAAACCGCAGTATAAAAAGAGGGGAGGGGAAGTCCAGTGTGTCAGGCAGCTGGTGCACAACTGTGGTCATATTGCCACATAAAAGCCTAAAGACCCAGGTGTATCACAGTAAAAACATCACTCGCGAGCCAAATTCTTACAGGAAGTAAGTGCCCAGTCTTGGCCAGTTGGCATCTTTCCTAACCCCTGTCAAACACACTGGATTTGAACTGAAAAATGTGGCCATGTTAAAGGAAATGGCAAATGCATACAAAGCAACAGGGCCAGAGCTTCCTCCCTGAGCCAGCGAACGGGGAGGCCGAGGAGCAATCAGAGACGAGTTATGTGACGGAGGGGTCTATTTGCTGAACTGCCTTTTCTTCCCCTCCTCCTCCTTCTTTGGTAAACTGCTTTCACTTGTTTCCTTTTTTCACTACCCTGTTCTGTGCTTTTTCGCTCAGATTTCCTGGCTCTTGGAGCAAAGGAAGGGGGAAGGAATGAGGATAGAGGATGGAGAAAATTTGAGGGAAACAGCACTGGCATTCTTTGTCACTGTTTCCAACAGTGATTAGAAGTAACCACTGAGATTTGTCATTACAACAGATAGGCTTGATGAAAAAGCTTTAAAATTACAGCAGGCTGCTGCTGCTTTGTATCTTAAACCAAAATGGTGGAAAGGGGCAGATTCTTTTCCACCCGTACAGCTGCAGTTTACAGACATAAACTTCTTGAGGTTGTGCATAAAATAAAAATGCTATTTCTTCTAATCCTCCAGTAGCTATCCAATCACCTGCCAAGCATTTCCCTCCAAAATCAGATGCTTCTTCATCTAAACAAACTTATCTTCCTGTTTGACAACTTCCAAAACAGCTGCAGAGTTACACCAAGACTTCTACAAACATGTGTTACATCAGCTCGCAGTTTGCCTGTAGCTTAGAAGAAAGTACTGCAATAATGACTACAGATGAAGGACAAAAGTAGCAATGCAAGTGGAGAATAACATCTTAAATCTTCTCTCTGCAGTAAAAATGCCCCAGTGGCAATGACACACACAGGCGCCACGCCATAGCCGTTCATATTTGGCACAGCAAAAATCAACAGTGAGACACTATATATCTGGCTGAGTAAACACAAGTAAACGGGTCATCAGTGCATGAGGTTCGTTTACAGATGAAGTGTGAGGGATTTGTTGCCCTTAAGGGCAAAAGTATTGACATGCTGGGGATAGGAGTTTTCTGGAGGGGCTGTTTGGACTGGACAGCTGACCCTGACGCTGCCTTCCATACAGCCATGTGCTCCAGTATTATCACAGACTTAGAGCCTGTCAACATGTGACTTTTGAGATGCATTGCCATCCACTTGTTTTATGTGCATTTTCGACAAACTTTCAAAAAAACTAAATTTTGAGGGGTAAAATGCATCAGAAAGCTGGTACAATGTCACTTTTTGTGCTAATTTGAATAGAAATAGAACAGAATAGAAAGCCTTTATTGTCATTGTACATGTTGATTGCACATTGAAATTGGTGGAGCATCTCCCCACAGTGCACTTGAGCAAGAGAATAAAAGAAATAAATAACTAAATATATAAAAGTATTAGCTGAATTACAAGAAGAATTCACTCTATTTCTCTGGCCATACACTGGAACCAACTGTTCCAACTGTTCCCTGGTCTGATACTGGCATTAACTCATTTGGGAAAACTGTAATGTCTTAAGGCAAGAAACAAGACTTCTAAAGAAATATAGTCTAAATGGTATGCTTCTTTTGATAAGCATGCAGAGAACTGCATATAAATCTTGACATGTTTACAGTGTTGGAAGGAGACAGTACACATTTTCTCCTTCACTGTTATCACTCTTTCTTTTGTCCTTGGCAGACAGAGTTGAACTCAGTAAGTTCAATGTTCCCACCATTCCCCGGGTCTCATCTATTTTCTTGGTGCCAGTATAAACGGGTGAAGAAGCTAACCCCAGAGCATGGCTATTTTGACATGATCTACATGTCTATGTTACGTCAGTGGCTCCAGCTTGCCACAAAACAGTCTTCCAGCACGCAAGCTGAACATCTCAGGGTGCTGTCGGTTTTGCTCTTGCCATGTCTGAGGCACATTCCTAACGTACCCTGAGTTCAGCTGTGCCAAACAGACCCCTGAGGCCCTTACGAGGTCAGAGTGTAACCCCAGCTGGGAGATTCTCAACTTCATCCCGGGGGAAGGATTTACTGTCCAGGACTGTGCCTTCCAGTGTGCAGCTAATAAACAACCCGACTGGGTCAAGCCTGCACAAGCCATCGAAATAATAAATACAGAGACGTATTACAAAAACTTGCCAGATGACTGTCTGACTCCGTTTTCAGGAGGAGAATGTGTGAAACATCCTCATGTTGACTTTGTGATAATACATGTTGGACAATTAGCAGTTAGCAATAGCATACATTCAGTCATTTTCTACTGCCTTAACCTGCTCTGGCACTTCCAGAAGATTAGGTTGATATTGGTGTTTAAGTGACACAGGTCTGTTTACTGACTGGTTGATTCTTCTCCACTTGTGCCACCGTTACACTATGCATGAGGATTCACCATAAGGTAACTGTCACTTGTGACCACATTGGCCACTGTTTAGCACAAGTTACCTAGTGACTTTAAAGCCACAGCTAAATTTGTCCAAACCTTTTGTCCACTGACTTTCACACCTCCTATGAAATGATTCATCTACCTGTACGATCCTGTGAGCTAACAGTCAAAAACAGTTTAATGTCATGGGCGGGGTTAGCTGGTCACCAAAAATCAGATCTGTTTAGATGCAGTTTGTGCACATGGCTCCAAATGTTGGATGTGCCAACTGTATTTACTGGATCTTTAAGTGGAATCCTACAGTGATAATAAAGGAGTGTCTAGTAATTTCCCCAAAATTCTCATGTCCAAGTTAACCATTTGAATCACACCGTAATGGAAAACTTTATAACAACCTTATGTGATTCAATGTACAGCATAACAGTTCAGCACAGTTCACTGCCCTGAACATCAGTTACAACTAATTAGTATTAATATAGCAGTGACAGCAACATGAGGACATTGGATGCCTTAATTTGAATACTCTGGGTGTGTGGTGGGGAAACAGCCCAGACTGCTTCCTGATTAGTTTAACTGACTATAAGAGGAGGTGGGTAAGGACCATGTGATCTGCCTCTGTGTCAGTATGTGTGTGTGTGTGTATTTGTGCATATGCATAAGTGTGTCTCTGCTTTTTAAGGAAGGGGTATTTGACTGTGGCCATGGTGGTTCCAGACCATGTCATTACTCCCACTTAGCATGGAGAAAAAATAACAATTTCAGGACAGGAGGGAAATTATGACTGGGAAACCACTGGTGATGGACTATACTCTGTCTCTATATCTGCACAGGTTGTTCAGGACAGTTATCAATTACCCCAATAAGTGCAGAAGCTCCTCAACGTACAGATCTGAGAGAGTCAGCGTTTCCAGGGAAGTCAGATGATTAACAGGAATCTGCTCTCTCACAGGAGCATAGTTCACTGCACTCTACATTTAGCGAGGTTAATCACTGAATTATCACCACTAAAACTACCTAACTGACATGCATCTCACATGAAACAAGACAACATCAAAGTTTGCCTGATGCTTTTTCGCTGCTCTCTGTGAAACACCTTGAAATCTTCAGCTGGGTGACAGTTATAAACACTGGCTGTAGCTAGTGTTTATTTTCTTGTGGGTAGCTCAAACCACAAGAATGCTATATTCATCATGCTAGAGCAAATTTAAGATTGGTGATGACAATGCATGAAAGAATGGGGTGAGTACTGTGTGTTTACAAAACAGTTGGTAAGTCATGACTAACTCAGAGCTCACAGGGCCCACTGCTCCAACGGAGAGACACCAGAATACCTGTATATCTGTGGCAGGTTTTCATAAGGCTTATGATCAAAATCAATGACTCTGTGATTTGTACTCGTTCAATAGTTCCCATGGGAAGTTTAATCCACTCTCAGAGTCTGTGAAAATCTGTAAGATGTGTGGTCAGTGAGCAGTAGGATGCTGCATACTGTCATTTTACAATAACCATTAGCCAAAATAATACTTAAACTGTGGTGTAAAGCTAATGAAAAATATCAAAAGGAGCCATTTTGTAGTTTAGTTTGTGTATGTCCATGACTGTTTTGATTGACAAATTGTTAAAAAAAGCATCAAACATTCAAGACAGCTGTTGACAGGAGGCTTCAAAAAGGATCCGTCAGCTGGAAAGTATTACTGAGTTATTAGTGAGCGTACAGTTTAGATTAATGACACAGACACACACCTGACAAAGATGAGCAGCGCCCTACATTAACTTTGCCAGGGTTGGATTATTATCGGGGCAGGCAGCATGCTGGGAAGGCAAGAGGGAGCTAGAGAGCAGCTTGGAGATATTAACAACATCGTCTGAGTGAAAGATGAAGCTCTCCTTCCACAGTTTTACTCCCCACACCTTCACCGTGTCCAACAAAATCCCCCTCGCCCTCCTCTCTGAAGGACCTCCCTCTCTGGCAACACTTTGAGCCCGATATGACCACAGTTTAGATAAGCATTCCTCCACAATGACAGGCCAGAAGTTTTTTTTCTTCTTCTTCTTCTAAAACAAAACCCAAGAAATGCCTTTGGTTTCTGGGATCTGATGGGATCTGCAAGTTTGTTTTCAGTTTAGGTTATCTCAGGAACACACAGGTTTCTCTCCAAAAATAGGGAGCACAGAAAGTGAATACGAGGAGGAGAAAGAGGGGAGTGGGAGGAGGAGGGGAGGAAGAAGCAAGGGGAGTTTGGTTAATGAGCACCAGATGCCTTACCTTCGGTGGTAGCCACATTCTTTGGAGCTTTAGTTGGTGTGTGATCTGTGCTCGAACTTATGTCAGAAGAGATGCTTGAGCTCCCTTTACCTGCAGGGGAAATGGGAGGAAAAACAAAACAAAACTAATGGGACACAGTGTAGTGACTTTAAGATGACAAACAGCATTTATGATGTTGTTTTATTACTGTAATGCCTTTTTTTCCTTAAAGTAAACTTTTTAGTTTTTTATCTGAGTTCCTAAAGAGTGTTTGCTGCATATTAGGTGGAAGAATGAGGTTGTAAGGAAATATAAAGCCCATCACTCTCTGCTTCCATGCCTTTTATGTTCCTCACTTTTGGATGAATGCTCATCCTTGGCACATGCACATGTGCATAAGTGTCCATTTTGTTACATTTAGAAGAAGAATAAAGTCTCTTGAAGCTCCCTTCAGCCTTCACTTGGATGAGTGAGGAATTATTTAATGAATGAATTATATGTGTCCTCAGCAGCAAACGTTTTCAGATGTAGGGTCTGTAGTCTCACAACTGCCACATTAAACTGCTTTTTATTAAGCTTACATGGATTTACAGCACAGCTCTTAAATTATGAGCTATGCTCACATTATTGACTTTAAGATTTGGATTTCTGTAAAGTCACATATGAGAGCTAAATTTCTACAACATATTCTTTTGAATGTGTGCTTCTGCTGCCGGAGTGTGACAGGCTTGACTACAGGCTGGCTGTGGAGTAGTCGTCTATGACATTTCATCCTTCTGTCAGATCATAAATGCACATTTGTGGCTTTCCTGAGACAAAGTCTGTGCTTTTCATCCAGCACAACAGGCTGAAGAGGTGTTCCCAAAAAGTCACAGCCACATGCACGTCAAGTGCAGCCACCCAAACAGACTGGACAGTTACCAAAATAAGCAGTAAATATGAAGGACTGTACCACACCAAAGGCTTATGAGCACTTATATTAATTAATATCAAAACAATGCAGCACATATGAGTATGACTGACATTTTGTGGTGACATCAGTGAGCCGGCACAGCTGCTAAAGCTCTTTAAGTCCTCGGAAATGACTGAGATATTCATAAAGAGCTTGCAGATGTCAATGTAAAACCACTGCTAATATCTCAGCAGACCAGAAAACATAGACTTCTGTCCTCTCTAGGGCTGTTTAGTTGGGGCATGTGGATCTGGGCCTGGGCCATTGTTTTCTGATTTTCAAGGAAAAACAGTTTACAGAAAAGCTCCTGTTTCCTGTCGTATGTGCTGGTGGAACACTGCAACACAGTTGTGACCAGTTTGTCATTAATTGTGGAGTCACACTTGAAAACAGATGTGAACAGACACACTCCAGAATTTACCAGAAACCGGTTTTAGACACTATCAAGATGGCAAATAGCAAAATGGCAAGAAAGAACAATTACTGAATGAATTAAAATAAACATTTCACTCACTGACAAAAAACTGGATGTATTTTGACAATTGATTGTTCGTTTTCAGCCTCTTTATTAGTTCCATGTTCTCCAGCGTCAGTAGTTGCTGTTTGCTTTGTCTTTTTAATGATTGTAAAGTGAATAACTTTGGGTTTAGGACTGTTGCCCTGATAAAACAAGTCATTTGAAGACATCATCTTGGGTTTTGTGATTGTGATAGTTGAGAAAATGAGCTAAAACCTTCTGTTTTCTTTGGCTTCACTGTAAACACACACACCCATTGTCCTTTCTGATAGTAGATTAAAGTTGCCACCAGTAACCATGGGTGTCACCAGATCAGCAGGACTGGAATCTGAGTTACTGTACATCTTTAAGGTGCAATGTTAAGCACAAAGACAATGTAGGTGAAAATGTGCATTGAATCCTATGAATCCTCTGAAAAAGCCATCATTCTGTGACAAATAATGCTTGTGTGAAGTATCATTTTTATCTGCAAGATTATCAAATAAAAAATGTATTAAAACACTTGATTTATGTTTATGTATTTCTGCACTTAAACCAAAAACCTAAGGTGGATGTGTTCAACTTCAAATTAATCCTTGTGAGCAGACTACAGATGTCCTGAGACTTTAGACACCATCATCTTAACATCTACTGATGTCACATTACCAAAGTCAAACTACTTTTTATTGCGTTTAATGAATGTAATACCTGCTTTTGTCAAGTACTCACTCACCATTAAAGTATGTTTCAATGTTGTCATAGCTGACTTTGTGAGCCATGATCAGCTAATTTTGTTGCAAGTGGTAAAATCTGTGCATGTACCTCAGCAGGATGGATTCCTAGGTGAAGCTGGTCCACATGTTATTCTTAACATCATGAGCTGCAATCTTTTTTTTTAGTTATTAACTTAGGAATACTGCTCACTGGAATGTTATTTATACAAACATTTCTGCTCTCAAGTCAAGAATAATGTGTTTAGTAGAGGAGAGCCACAGTTTTTGTGAATGAGTAATGATGATGATGATTAGAAAAATGTTGGAAAAGACAGTCCAGTGGCCACATCACTGAAATCAAGGACAAGAGCCAAATGCAGTATTATTTGATTTGGTTTATGTAAACAAAACCTCCACTAAAAGACACACGCACACCATTGTTTATTATTGCTGCTATTTTTTTTTCAATGTGTCTAAAGCTGTGAGAAAGACAGTGATCATATTGCACAAAATTGTTTCCAAATCAAACAACAATACTAGGATAAGGAACTGTGGACAACAATCAGTCAAGATAAGAATGACTATGAGCTTACAAAGCCAAACTCACCTACACTGAATCCACAGGGATTTGGTTTTAGACCAATACATAGTATCTGAGGAACCAGCCAATTAAATTGTTATGTGGTGATATAAACTGGTTTTATTGTTGAAACTAAATATCACCAAAACCTGATACCTGCATGTAAACACATATGAAAGATACCTGACATGCTGCCATCTACACATACAGCACTATGTAAACTTCCTCCAGCTGAAGCTAGATGGACAAAAAAGTGTCC